GGGGCCGCCCACTGCCCGGCCATGTGCCCTGCCAGGATGGCTGGGTCCAGTCTCCATGGAAACCCCAGCTTTGTGCTACCACAGAGCAGCTGGGGTCTCAATGGAGACCATCCCCAGTCATGCAGGCAGGGGCTGCTGGGAAATGAAATCCACTGCTGGCTGGATCCGGCCTGTGGGATGGACTTTGCCTGCCCAGGAGTAATATGTATAGTTTATACTGTGTACAAGTAGGTATAAAGGTGCTGCTCAAAAGTGTGTTATGGACTACCTGTGCTGAAACTTGTAGTAGTTTGCAAAAAAGGTAAAATGTATCAATTTTGGATAAACCAAGTCTCTAGGCATCCATGGTCACTTGCATATAAGCAAATCTTTGGAGATATTTTTATTTCAAAGTCAGTGTTTTTTGGTCCCTTGTGTTTCAAATTAGCCTCTGCTGTATCCTCTGCCCCCTTACATGTCGCATGTAATTCATTTCCACATGCTTGAGGAAGGAACAGAGCCTGAGCAGGGGCTGAGAGTCAGGTGGAGGAAGGGGCTGCAGGTGGAAAAAGTTGGTCGGGGAAGAGGGCAAGGGGACCATCTCCTTCCACCCACCCCCCCTCCATTATTTCCTTTGCTGTAAGCAGTAGGAAGGCAAAATCAAGACGGATCTCCGATAATTAGATTCTATACCTGGAAAATTATAACCAATCTCTACATTTTCCATATATAAAAATTATCGCAGGGTGTCTTAAATTCAGGGTCATCTTAGATTCAAGTAAATATGATAATTCATGTTAGGAAGGATATTAAGTCTTTAATTTGTTCATAGGGCTGTGAACAAGAGGAGAGGTTGTATCCTGACCAGTTCCTATATGACCGAGGCAACAATCATGGTGAAATGCATGCCAGTAATTGGACTGACCTGCACAATGAGGATGAAGAGAAATGCACGTATGAGATTAAAGGGAGTTACTCTGGCACCCGTAGTGAAGCAGATGACACATACCTTGGCAGAGATGGTTATAATGCACCAAGTCACTACCAACAGAACAGTGTGTACCATCTCCCAGACAACTTTAGACAGTACACAAATGGCCATAAGCAGGAATTTGCTGGCCATAACCAGCAAAGCAAAATATTGAATTTTCCTGATGCTCCAAAGGAACATCCTAAGGTACTTTGAAAACTGCTATATTTTTTGTGCTAAGACTTCATTGATTCATCCATTGATGCTAGACTGGTAATTAATCTTGACTGAAAACGCATTTCTAGATGTCAGGCAGTAGGCAAGGGAAGATGGCATTTGGAGACTAAATGGTTGAGAGACATGAGTTTTCATAGGCAGCAACCTACTTTGTTAGATGCTAACGTCTGCTTAGCATCTGACAAAGTAGGTCGTTGACTATGAAAACTCGTGCTTCTTCCAAGCAGTTGGTCTCTAAGGCTGCGTCCAGGCTAGCGCAGCTGTGCAGTATGTGGTGTAGCAGACATGTCTATGGTGCCACATGCTGCATGTTCAGTTGGTTTCTGCACTGCAAGAGAGCAGTGCAGAGGGTTTTTTTGACCCCTGAATATCCAGGGGCTACAAAAACCTGCAGAGAAAAAAAGCAGAGCAGCACACGTATTGGCAATGCTCACTGCTCTAAAAGCGGAGCTGGGCCGCCTGGAGCTGTGCTGCGGCTGCCAACAGCCAGGCTGTGTGTGGCAGAATTGCTGCTGCTGTAACCCCGGGAGGCCCCGAGGACCCTGAGTAAGGCTGCTGGGGTCAGCCCAGTGCTGGCCCCAGCCTCCCCTACCACCCCCAGGGTAACTTGCCATGTGCCATAGCATGTGTGGCATGGGTGTTCCCCCAGGGACAACTAGCGATGGCACAAGGTGTGCCACTGCTAGTTGTCCCTGGGGAACCAAACGTCCATACCACATGTGCATATAGGCTAAGATGTTAACCTGCCCTACTTCCTGCCTGACCTAACCTCTGACTTTTAGTTGGAAAGATGAGATGCTTTTGTAGGCATATCTGTCGCATTGAAACAGCTGAGACTCAATTATCTGAGCTGTTGCTTATATAAATGTAATGGCTTTGTTTTTATTTATAGAAAAACTAACTAGCACAAACTAATAGTAGATGTGCTGTGCTTCACAGTTAATGTAAACTTTGATTATAAGGCCCTGATTCGACAAAGTGCTGTTCACTTAAGAGCTTTGCTGATATGGAGCCTTAAGAGCTACAAAAACTTATAAAAACTTGTCAATCAAAAAGAAAAAAAACTTCTGTCATGAAGTTGGGGAAGGGAGTTTTAATTTATTTATCTATCGTCACAACAGCAATTTGGTACCTCTGAAGTTGTTAGCGGCCAACCAGTGGAATCTTACAGAGTCACATATAAGCCATATAAAAATGGCCTTCAACAAAATGGCCCTGTAAAACAAGGAACGACAAGAAGAACTGAAGCATTTGAAGAACTACAACGGGAATTTTTGGGTACTGATGAGAGTAAGTGTAAACTAACAAAGCTTGAAATTATGGTGAAATCTTTATACCACAGAAGTTGGTGGCAAAATTCCCATTTGAATTCAGTGGAGTCAGGATTTTATCCTTAGTCTTTATTAAATTGGAAATCAGAAAAAATACATTAATAGCTTAGATGTATGTAAACCTTTATTGCACTCAAAATTTATACTGAGGGTTAGTTCTCTGAGTTAGTCCTCATTTCTTCCTATTGCAGTTTTATTTTGATTTGGTATACTCAGTTTTGAATAATCAAAAATACTTTTGCCCAGATAAAGAATCTATATCTCGCTAGTTGCTCAACCAAGTACTGCTGATGTCACTCAAGCTTATTGACTGAATTGGAAGTGAGAGCGCTGTACACTTTCCGGTGTTTACTCTGCTCCTTGCAAAATTAGGCATTGAATAGGACCAGCCAGTAAATGAATGTCAAATCTGTAAGTGTAATGGAGAACTATTAAAGCCCTTGATGAATGTGTAAAGGAACTGTGAATTTACACTGTGCCATTGTTTACCCCTGAAGTCTGTGTTACTTTGATTCTCCAAGTGGAGTTCCAGCTACATGTGCAATTCTTATCTACTTTAGGTTTGTGTTTTGGGTGCCAGCAATGGATGTGACACTGAAGAGAAGGCAATTGCTTTCTGTTCCAAAGGTCTTTTGTACTATAAATATTTCATGTATGTTGCAGTAACTGACTTGTCTGAAAGTCATGCCTTCATCTTGACAGATTCTTCAGACAATATGCAGATTCTTCAGCTTCAGGTTCTTAATAAAGCAAAAGGAAGGCAACTGGAAGAACTTAATGAAAAGCTGGAAAAGAGCACCCAGCAGATAAGGTATCTGAATCATCAACTTGCAATGGTCAAAGGTATGAAGTTTACATAGACCTTTAGATTATCTCAGTTCTAGAAATTAATGAATTATTATATGTTCCTTCATTCTTTTATAACATGTTCCAACATACATGGAGATTGAGCTAGACTAGCAAATTCAGTTGCAATAAAACACTGAATTTGATTGTAATAAAATACTGCTCTACTTCTTCATGTTGGAGACACATTGGTCAGTGTCTAATCTTAATGATCACGGATTCAATTATTCTACTGTAATACTAATCCCATTCCAAATCTATTTACTGACATAGCCTCTATTTTGCCACCAACCTTAAAGAGAAGTAAGTGGGTAGTATGTTCCTACCTGCTTAGCTGTTGTCACTCTGTTTTGCTTTTATCTGAAGATAAGCCAATTACTTCCTCTAGATCTGTTAACTACATATTTTGGTTCTAGAGGCTGGTTCTTTCCTCATGAGCAGTTGACAATATCTCTGAACTGCTTGGACATGCCTGTCATATGAAGGCCCAGATTCAGAAATTGCTTCTGGGTAGTACTTTTCTCCAAGTTATTTCCTGAAGTGGGGCCTAAATTAATAGCTATTTATTTACTTTATTTTCATTTATTGTGTTGGAGTGGATTCAGCCATATGTAATCTGAACGTTCTGGAGAAAATGTAGTCCTGTTGTACTAATGCCATAAGGAACTCAGGATTTGGAGCAGCACTGTAGAAACTCTTAGGAAGATGAAGAACCATCCCCAAAGGCCAAGCCTAAAAGTACAAAAAATTTAAGTAAAGCAAAGTTAAGAGGAGACACCGAAGTTATCAGATCGATAATGGAGATATTTTGTGGTCATCTTAATTTATTTTTGGGGAGACAGAAGTGAGAACAGGAATAAGAGCAAGAAAAGAAGGGACATGAATGAGGAGAGGAAAGAAAGAACAGAAATTTGGAGGGAGAGCATGACGGTGGGGGAGGAGAGAAGATGCCTAGATCAGGACAAAAAAACAATTGGCAGACAGGAAATAGTGGCCAGATTTCAATCTCTACCATCCCTGGCTGTTCTGGGCAAACCTGTTAACCTTCTAGGATGCCTAGTTTAGTTTGCCCCATTGTGTGCGACAGGGAAGAAGATCCCACCAGGTCCTGGCTCCTGGTGCTGTCAGAATGCGTTTTTCTTTTACTCAAAGCATAAATGGGCTGGTGTCCTTCTGGCTGTTGCTGGGAGGAGGAGGTGGAGTGGGTGGGGGAAGAGAGAGGTGCCTAAGGCATTAGTGAATGGAGTGCCAAATGAAAATGGCCCCCAAAAGGTGTGCTTGCAGCTCACACTGCTTTTCAATTATTTCTCTTTTATAAGATGAAAAGGATGGCTTGGCCCTCAGTCTCCAGGAGTCGCAAAAATTGTATCAAGAGGGAAAAGAACGGGAGGTACATCTTGAAGGTCAAGTAAAATCACTGGAAGCCCAAATTCAGGCTCTTGCTGCCAATGAGGAGAAGGTACTGTAATTATCTTAATATCGGTAACTGTGGGAAATTTCTGCTAGATGTACTTGTTGGAAAGTAAATGTTAAGTGTAATCAGGACTAATTTACTGTTGTTAGGTGTCAAAATGTCAGGATTAGAGCGTGCAACAAAAGAATTGGTATGTTTAGTGAAAAATAGCTCATGTGATCAAACCCATTAAAACATGGGGACTGTTGATTATGATTACAATAGCCATGCATGCTTAAGTTGGTTGGGTCTTATGGTGACATATCTATGACTTTGAATATCAGAAATCCTATTTGATAAACTCTTGTTTTTGTATTTTTTTAAGTATCTTTAACTGGTGCATCTTGAGCATGTAGCATGAGAGAACACACATTTTCTGTAATAGCAAAACCTTTTAACATTTTATTCTAGGATCATTTTGTGGGGGCTAAAATGAGTCACTTCAGAGGTCTGACTGCTGTCAGCTAATGGAAGAAAAATACTGCAGTCCTTTGAAAGCTGTCAATAGCTTCTCTTATATGGACTTTCTTGGGCATTTTGTTTGTTGTTGGGGTTTTTTTCTGTTTGTCTTTGGCATGCCTTTGGATATTTTATAAGGTTTTCACTGTTATAGCTCTGTCTCCGACTCAAAACAGGTTGTTTTCACTTTTCCTGTAGATAAATATATTGGAAATTCTGAATGTTTGTGCTGTCTGGCAAACATGCACATCCTTCAGCTTTTCTTCCATCCTCCCTTTTGAGGTAGGATGGAAGTTGCTGTGATTTTGGACATTAAAGAAACCTTGTTGAAGAGTGGTGTCTGTTTTTAACAGTGTTAAGAAGCATGTGACATCTGCTACCTGATGCAGCATAAACAGAGCTTGTGAAGTTGGCTACTTGTCACGGGCAAAAGTGGCAAATGGAAGGCTTTAGGAAGTCCAGGGATCTTTTTTTTTTTTAAGTAGTTACTAATCCAGTGGCTAGATTTGTGCAAACCTAATGCATAGCTATCAGTGCTGAGCCTGGTAAAGAGATGGAAATAGGGTAACTTGTAACTTCAGCACCCAGAATGCTGGTGCTGTTAAGTCCCAGAACAGTGCCTTGGATTGCTTTCATGGATATGTGCAATTCCCCTGCCTTGTTGCATCTAGGAAAAAAACAAGGCACAGCATTTCCATGTCACGTCCCCTTGTTGGCACAGCATAATTCACAATGTCACCTTGCAAGGTGTGTCTTGTGACAGGGTTTTGAGCACCTCCTGCCTGGCTCCACTGGTGTGGCCTTATGAAATGCATAGTCATCTATTTGTGCTGCTCTGCTTGATGCAAGGAGCAGAGTGATTGTGACTTGGATGCCATCACTTGACTTAAGTCAGTGGGAGCTTGTTTTGCAAAAGAGCGGTGGTTGATTTAAGGTGTGTGGGGACAGAATTACATCTTGCCTGTCTGGAAACATGCTTTGGTCACTTCTGAAATAACAGAATAAACATGCATGATTTTGTAGGATTTTTAGATTTCTTCATAAAATTCCTAACTCCATTTTGCTAAGGAAGGATTCTGTGATTTTTGTTCTTTTAAGTACAATGTATGCTTCCAATTTGCAAATGCAGTTTGCAGCAGCTCTTTAGGTGTAGAAATGCAAGTAGAACTTTCAGCAAAGTTAATCTTTTTTGGAAGAGGATGCATTTAGAACTGACTTGAGACCAGTCTCTTATTTTTACTTTGACTGTGGGTTCTTGTAATTGCTCTCTTGGGTGCAGACTCTTGCCCACCTTGGTTGGTTGGGGAGGAAGAGGAAACGGGCAGACTCTCAAAAAGAGATGGATCTTATGAAGTATTTGGGAACAAGGCAGTAGTCAATGTTTGTAGCTTCCCTTAGAGGTTCTACGGGTGGAAGATACTTTAAAGATATGTCCAGGCTCCATAGGAGTTCTGCTGGCGGAGGTTGGTGTCCTGGGACCTTGATTACTATTTCCTCCTAACTAAATGGCACTTAGGTTGTAGCATTGATTTCTTTGTTTCCATAATGCAGAGTTTCTGTAGATTGTGTTTTGTTAGAATACCAGGTCCCACATAGTTAACAGGGGAGTAATTGTTTTAAAATGCATGTTAATTTTGGCTTCTTCTTAACCAAAGTCACTTTTATAGTTTTTTAATGTACTTGGTATTTTGAAGCTGTGTTCAAGTACTGTGTAATGGGTTTCTACAGATACTCAAGCAATCCAAAGTGGCAGAAGTAGCCATGGAAAGCATGCAGCAGCAGCTGTTAGAACTTCAGCATTCAGACTCTCTTCAGCGAGCCAGAGAGCAACACGAGACCATTGTAGCAGCACTCAAGCAGAAGTACGAAGAGCAAGTATTATCCTTGGAACAGCAACTTGACACTACAAATTCTACGCTACGAGAGCAGGTTAGGATGGATTTTTAGGACACTGAATATTTTACCAATACAGAAATCTGTACTAGATCCACTGTCTTCTATATCCAGTCCTTCCTAAAATTGCCTTGAATCCCAATTTTGTCTTCCAGTTGTTGACACCATAGAAAGGGAAGCACTCACACACATCCCATGTAAAACAAACACTGCATGGTGATAAACCTCCCAAACGAGTGGCTTTGGGAATACTCTAGTATGATGTAGCTGGAACACCACACTATGTGCGCACACTTCTTGCAACAATACGTTCATAGAAGTATGGTGAGAGGGGACCTGATCAGATCATCTAGTCCGATCCCCTGCCCTGGGCAGGAATGAATACGGGGCTTTTATGACCCATACTAAGGTTAAGCTCAAATGACCCCAGCTAGGTAGTTATCAAGCCTCCTTTTAAAGACCCCTAAGGTAGAAGCTAGCACCACTTCCCTTGAAAGCTGGTTCCAGATCCTGGCCGCCCTGACTATAAAGTAGTGCCTCCTGGTGCCTAGCCTGAATCTACTCTCAATCAACTTTTGGTCATTGTTCCTTGTTACTTCAGGAGGTGCTCGGGGGAACAGGGTCTCACCCAATCCCCTCTGGTTCCCACTGGTAAGTTTATAGATGGAGTTAATAAGTCTTTCAAGTAACTAGATTTCTGTGATTTATTCCAATTGATATAACATTTGCTAGCTTCATGTTGTAGTCCATTGTGTTTTATACAGCACTCCTAAGGCATTGTCTTAGTTACATGCCATCCAGGAATTTTCAAAGTAAACTGTGGTCTAACCACTCCACAAATTGAGAGCCAGTAATTTTCCTTGTTTAATTTCTTGAAGTGTTTCTTATCTGTAAACTTTTTAAAAAAAAAAAAAGCATTCTTACAAAAAAGAGGCATTTCACTAAGGTATTTGGAGCACTAGCTGGTTAATGATTATGAACAAGATCGCTCTAACTTAGTTGCAAGCGTTCTCATTGCTCTGGCTTTGCCTTCACTGAAAATAGGTGGGGGAGAAAACTGTATGGCCAAGATACAAAAATTTATGGCAGACCTGAGGCACTGCACCTTTCACCTCATGAGTAGCAGGCAGGGGGAAGGTGGTACTCTCCATCAGAGGGAACATTTTAGCTGCTACATGCTGTTAAGTCCTTCAGTGCCTTGTCTGCACTAAGACTTGCATCATACCTGCCACCCACATGTAAAAATGCTTTCTTTTCTGGTAAGATATACCTGTACGTACATACTGTGAAAGAGCTTTTCAGTTGGGGTTGATGTTTCAGGCTTACTGAATCAAATGATGCCTTTCACCAGTATGTATTTAAAATGCACGCTTTTCCCATAATAAACTTAGGAAAGTGTGATGCTACCAAGTTATACTGGATGATTGAACAGCTGTCTTTGAAAAGATGGGTTTGTAACTTGAAAAAAAATCTCTCTTTTTAGAAAGAGCTTTGTTGTCAGCTAGGGGAGCATGTGAAACAACTCGAAAAAACACTAGAACAAATCAAATGCGAAAAAACAGAAATAATCAACCGGTTGACAAGAAGCCTCGAGGAAAGCCAAAAGCAGTGTGCAAACTTACTGCAAACAGGTCAGTCTTGTATATGCAACTTACCTGCTGCTGTAAAAACTCTTGCACTTTCCAGAAGAATGAAACTATTTGTTTTCATGGTGAAATGGGTGCAATGCAAAAAATGAACATACTAGATTATTTGTGACAAATGTGTTGACCAACAGGGCTGTGCAAAACTTTGGCAGCTGTTTCATTTTGGAGGTGTTTCGGTGCCCAAAACACCAAATCTGAAACTAAACAGAAGGCTCCGAAACATCTCCAAAACAAAACGAAATCATAAAAAACTTTTTGGAAAACTTCGGAATTTTGGAGTCAGACTTGCAGGGAAACAGAAACTAAGAAGAGGAGGGGGAAGGACTGCTCTGATATTGACATCTGTAGCTGGCCAGTGTCTGCGATCTGTCCCTGAGGTCTCTTCCAACCCCAGTGCTCTGGGGGAGGGACGGCAGTCTGCTGTCATTCTGTGCAGATCCAGGGGCCTACACCCTCCTAAGAGGAGTCTGGCACAGCCCCGCAGCACTCCCGGAGGACACGGACCTCCGGATCTGCATGCGGGATAACAGCAGGCTGCCGCTGCTGGCTGGGGCCAGCGTCAGCACTCAAGTCTGCTTGGTGCATCCCATGCCAAGTGCTGGAAAGAAACCAGTGCTGACACTGGCCCCAGTCGGCAGCGGCAGCCTGCTATCATCCCGCATGTAGTTCTGGGGGCCGGCATCCCCTGGGAAGAGTCTGGCACAGCCAGCATGCTGCCGGCAAGGGATACAAGTTTTGCTTTGAACAGTTTGAGGTGCAGTTTAACAGAAACCCCTGCACCTATCTCTTTGAAACTTGGCAGGCTTCATGCCCTCAGAAGGGGCTACCAGCCCTGCAGTGTTCATCCAAATTAGGCAAGAAATGACAATGTTTTTTATAGGCATTTTAGTGATTTCCCCATTATAGCCTATGGCCAAATCACTAAAACAGCAATATCCTTTGAATAACCATTGTTTGGACTCTGTCATACTCTCTATCTAAGAGAGAATGTGATAAGCAGTAACGTGATGGTAACTCATATGATGGGCGAATTAGTTTGTAATGTTCCTTCCAGTACTGATTTTGAGTTATGGAAAGAGGTATACCACTTGCAAATATAGCTTGAGCTAATTTCTCATCTGCTTTTTCTTGATCTTCTGACATTTTGTCCACAAAGCTTGATAAAAAGCTTGGCTGTCTTGAACAGCTACTCAAGGTGGATTGCATATCTGGTGACAGTGAACTTGAAAGTGAGGATCCTGCTGCTTTTCCCCCAGACCTGGCAGCTCAACATTTTCATTTTCCATTTTTTGCAAATCTGCTATTTCACTTTGAGCTACCAAGTTCCTGCAACAAAAGGGGGAAAAGATTTTTATTTTAGCTTATTCTAGTCTGGCCTCATCCATCAGAAGGAGAAGCAGCAGGGAGCTTGCTTCCCCATTCCCCGCCAGAGAGAACACTCTGCTGCTCAACTTGCTGCTCAGTTGCCCTGGGACTGCAGAGCCAAAGGGAAGTATAGTCTGGCCTCTGCCATTGGCCAGAGGACTAAGCTTGCTCTGCTGGGTTGAAATAGTTAACTATTTACTTGTCACATAATAAAAATGATTATTGTTAAGCCTAAACTACTTAGGGGGCTTAGTGCAAGCAGAAAAGCGGGATACAAATAATTTAAATAAATAATATTTCAGAGTTGCATTAACAACTTTAAAAATTATAACGTTTTAAAACAATATAGATGCTAGTCTATACTGTGTGTTGTTTAACATATTAACTTGTTTATTTACATAGGATTCCTGAAGTAGACCTTTCTCAGATGATGTTGTTACACCACTTGGTTGTAGTAAACTCTCTGGTAACCGGCACCTTACAAGCCGGCATGCTCTGTTAACTGGCATGCCGACTTGCAGGGGAAAGTGAAACCAGAAGTGCCCACTGTGGCACTTCCAGTTTCTCCAAGCTCCTACGGCCTGGGGCAAAGCAATCTGCGCTGCTGAGCCCCCACGGCCCAGGGGCATAACAGGCTGTGCGGGGCATACCTCCCTGTCCCACGGGGTCTGCAGGAGGGGCGGAGGGATGCGGCGGGAGAAGCGGCAGCTGGGGCTGCTCAATTAACCAGCATATTTTGTTATCCAGCATCCCCCATTCCCAACTTTCTTCCTTCCTTCAGTGGCTTGAACTTCACTATAATGATGCCACACTCTAGTTTTGTTCTAATTAGGCATTATTATGACTACTTCAAACCAAAAGCACTAAAAAAACCTAACAGATCTTATGCAAACACTTCCAACTTTCCCAACTCAAGAAAAGAAATGAGACACTGCTCTATGCATTTGAACTGAAAGCAAAACAAAAATTAATCAGTTTAATTTTGGTTTTGCTTTCACTTGCAGTCTGAGATGAAGTAAGAATTTTAGCTTTGGTTTTGATTTGATCTGCAGAGCCAATTGGTACGAAGCAGCTAGTATTCACTTCAGATTCGGATTTGAGGGTCAGCGATTCGATTCAGTGATTTGAATCACTGTCCTGAGTTGATTTGGCTGAATCGAACAAGCCCCAGTCCCCGCCCGCTCTCCCAGCCCCATCAATGGCTGCCTTGCCCGGCCCCAGCATTCCAGCTTTTTAAAAAAAAAAAAAAAAAATCCTGCGCTTGCTGGCTCCTGCCAGGCAGGGGAGCGATCCCTACTGCCCAGTGCTTCAAGGATGCCCTGCGACAAGCCCTCATCCTCCTCCTGCTTTCCCAGCCCTGCCAGTGGCTGCCCCGCCTGACCCCAGTGTCTTGGCTCCAGTCCCCCTCGCCCCCTGCTTACTGGCATGGAGTCTGGGTGCAGCTTCCTGCAGTGGTGAGTGGGGACTGCCTGAAGCTCTCCGAATCTTTTCTGAATCCATTTGGAAAGCTCGACTCGATTTGGACCTTTTTATTGGTCTCCCAATTTGATTTGGATTTGGGGATTCAGCCGCTGAATCTCCTCTGAATCAAATCCGCACCCGAAGCTTCGCATAGCCCTACCCATTAGGTGAATTCATAACTTGATTTTTGGTTTGGATTATTATGTGAGTATATTTACCCTCCTGTTTACAAATCAATAAACATATATGTACTTTCTCAGTCACATCGCAGGGATAATCACCTGAAAAACATTTATTACAACTTTGAAACTGCCAAGCTTGCCTAACATTGCATTGGCATCCATTCGTTGTGACTGATGTATTTTATGAAACAATGAATTTTTAGAAATGGAGAATTTCCAACAGAAAAATAAAACACTGGAAACATTTCTGAATAATTTTCCATTTGGGAAACTTTTCTGCCCCACATCTCTGAGTAGAGAGAAGTCTCAAATGCAAAGAGGCTGGAAAAAGCCTGGATTAAGTCGGAGTAGGAGGTGGTTTTTGTATAAGAAAACAAGTAATTATTAGCATGATAGATAATATCAGATAGAATGTACTTGACCACATAACAACACTACTGGATATTGCAGATCACAAAATGATTGTCAAATGCCCTTGGGTAGTACTAGCAACTAAATATAATTAGACTCTTTCTTTTAAAAAAATGTATCTGTTTTTCCAAGGCAGCAGTGTTCCTGATGGTTTCCTGGCATAATTACACAATTTCCTTTTTGCTTCTATATGAAAAGTAAATTTTTGATGCATCTTCTTCCATATAACTTTAAGTCTACCAATTAAAGAAAATATATCTGAAATGAAGCCATGACAGCCCCTGAGTCCTGAATAAGTTGCTGTATTTAAATCTAAGAACTGTAGCCAAAAACACCCTCTTTCACATTTGCAACTTATGTCTTAAAATAGTGGTGTTCAGGCTCATAGTAAATGGAGTAAGAGTAACTGCTGAAGTCAGCATAACTCTTCACAATGGATGTTCAGATGGCTGTGTAAACTCCTGTGTTTCTGTAGGCTCCGTACAGGAGACCAGTCAGTTACGGTTCCAGCTACAGCAAGCTCAATCTGCCCAGCTGATGAGCAAGAACATGAACAAGGCTTTGCAGGTTAGCTTATTTTATTAAAAATGTATTGCCATTGTTGTTTTTGATTTTTAAACAGATGAACATGTTGGGGAGGAACCCTCTTAAGTTAAAACATTTTATGGAAATGGAATGTCCTGTTTTAGTCCTTTACTGAAAGGAGAGAGTTCTGGGATATGTGCGTTACAGTGGGGAAAATATTATTGTCTTTTATCTGATGGAAAAAATATTTAAAATTCAGTCCTATATTCTGAGGTGTGGGTAGAGTGGGAATCTATTAATTTAATTGGATATATAGAACTATAGTCCTGAATCCTATTTTGATGAGTTGGTATTGCCACCATGATGTAATGGTAAGGAGTTCTTGGCCGTATATAGCTAGAAGTATACATTTGTGTACTTTTTTTGAGACCCTAAATCCTCTAGTTGCTATGACTGATAATATAGAGAATACGTATCCCCCCTACCATGAAATGCCTATCATGGTAATTGAGTAAGGGAAAATCAGATGGAAGTTAGCTAGCCTTTGCGGGGGGAAGCTCTAATACTAAGAACACTCTAATATACTAGACACAGAGTGTGAGGAAGATTATCCGGTTTCAATTATAACTTGTGACAGGCTCAGTAAGCTAAAATGGTTCTAACCAACCAAATCACATGCTTTAGAAGAAGTGAAGTCCTCCAAATATCCAGGTCCAGTGTATAGAGAACTTGGTTTCATAAGCTTGTTTTAGTATTAGTAACCTGACTCAAACAATTCTTGTTGGGCCTATTATGTATAATATCTGTTTTATATAATATAATACAATATGCATTATAATGTTCTTTTGTGTATGTGTGTTTGTTTTAAGGAAGAGCTAACAGAACTAAAAGAAGAAATAGTTTTGTATGAATCTGCTGCTAAACTTGGAGTATTTTTGAATGACACATGTGGTGAACCACGTGTAGATATGAATGAGTCCTATGTGGACTTGGGTATTAAAAAAGTCAATTGGAAAAAATCAAGATTTCACAGGTATGGGGTAAATATAATTCTGAGAAGGAAAAAAACCATCTATTTCAGATGGTCTAGGAGGAAAATGTATAATGTTTAAAATAATACGTATTATGCCAATTGTTCTAATATACATAGTAGACTTTTTCTTCTTTCAAGGCATCGGGTTTTGGCTACTGGAGGCAGGGTAGGACCAGTGGTCTGAACCAGTATCTTAAATCCGACGTCTGAATACTGCTGAATTAGATAAGGCAGGGGTGGGCAATTCTTTAGGCTGGAGGGCCACTTAACAAGTTTTGGTGTGCTGTCAAAGGCTGCACACAAACAGTCTTTTAGAAGATATAATTTTAAAAAATTATAAATTAAAAAAACCTAATTGTATACTAAAAATCAAACATCTGCTATAACATGTTTTTAAGTTTATTTAAAAAATATTTTTCCCTTTTTTTGCATGGCATATAGAGGCGATTATGTAATAGCTCAAAATTAAAATCTTACTTTTGTCTATTGTGCGGTGTGCTGCCTGCGCACTAGATCATGGGGTGAGTGGCAGGGGGCACATTCAAGCAGAGCTCACCTGGGCAGTGCAGGTGCAGGCTGCCCCCACAGTGCTCCACATTGGGCCAAGCCTGACCTACTCCTGCCTGAACTAGCCCAGACTGTGCTTCAGCCTATGTCTGCAGGCTCTGGCCCGGCCAGTGCGCACAGCTTTCTGGAGGGACTGCTCCTGGTGCGGCTGCAGCTGCCCAGGTACTAGTAGGCTCTCTTTGCCTCTAGTGGCTTCTCCTTTTGCCCCTGCTGCGCCGCTTCAGGGGGTTGGGACTAGGCAGCTCCTGCCCCAGTGCTTGGGGCTGCAGGTCCTGCTCCCAGCTGCCTTCTGCCTATTCAGCCACCTACTTTTACAGGCAGAAATCAGCTTGTAAAGTATGGATAAAGGTCAGAAATATATCTGGGTGATGGATCTCCACCTGGAGCATTATATATTACTGCAAATAATAGGCATCCATTCCTTTGCCGGTTGGAACTCTTGGTCTTCATGAAGAGCCTGTAGAAATATACATGGATTAATTTCAATATTTGTGGCTTTGCTTCTTTCTCTACTTAAAACTGTTTGGAACCAGCAAATTGATAGTTATTTCAAAATAGCACAAATTATGTCTAGGTGAAGGAGTTCTAGGAAGTAACTTTTTAAACCTAGAATCTCGGCTACTTGATTTCTAATCAGTTTCATAGTTCCTAAGCTGCCTGACCTTTATAGCAGTTGTATTGAATGTAGAATTTAACTTGGCTTTGTTGTCATGTTGCATGGAAAATGTAGTTTTTAGCATTCTTTACATGTTTAGAGTAAGCTTCTTATACTTTTTAAGCAATGTAACTTTGTTAACTGTAGCATGAAACCTGAAATAGATGTGAAACCTGCCATTTTTATTTTACCAGTGTTAAACAGGGACTGATCATGTTTTCTCCACAGGGCAATACAGAATAGAGATAAGGAACTTTCTAAAGATGATCTCATCATAGAATTGAAAGCTGAACTAGAACGTTTATTGAACAGTAACAAAATGAAGAGAAATCAAATTTCTCAGTTACAAAATGATCTTAAAGACTGTCAGCGAACAACAGATAAATTCCAGCAGTTGCTGAAAGCAGAAAAAATAGCAAGAGAGTCTGAGGTTTGTTCATTTGAAATCATCATTATACTTTTAATTTATTAAGATTTCACAAAACTTTGCAAAACTTCACTGGATTTTAACTAAAACCAAACCTATAAGCCAGTGGTCTCCAACCTTTTTATGGTGAAGATCACTTTTTGACACCCCAGGATCGCTACTGCCTCCCAGACAAACTGCCTGGGCTCTGACCCCACACACCCACCCCGGCCCCGGCAGTAGGGGGCGTGGCTCAGCTTGGCCACTGTGTCCTGCTGCTCCTGATCGTGGCACCTCTGACAGGCTGAGATCGACTGTCAGAGGCTCCATGATGGACCAGTTGATTGTGATCAACTGGTTGGTGACCACTGCTGTAAGCCATCTCCTCCCCTTCTCCCCCCCCCCGATGAGAATATAAGTAATTTCTTCTAATGTTTAATCCCCAGAAGCAAATGAATCTATTAACTTCAAGGAAAGTATTGTGTTCCGCTGCTACCTATTCTATAATTTGTGTGGGAGAAATAGGTGAAAGATGTATCAGAACTTTGGCATGTTTTATTCTTATTAAGATTCTAGTACAGGCTAGTATACTTTAGTAAATTGGTTATGCTCTCTCTTTGTTTTGGGTAAAAGCAAATCTTTGTGCTAAAAAGCAGCACTTTCCTTGAGAGATCATAGGTTTAATGTGATGTAAGATCATAGGTTTAATGTAATGTGTGTACACACAATTCACTCAAATTTGATATCAGCAAGCATCTGTTAAAGGTCATCTAGCAGTTCCCTGGACTTTATTTAGTATTAATTGTAACTTGATCTTTTCTCATTCTCCTATATTACTTCTGTCCCCTGCCCCCTCCATATTGAATGCTGTTCTTCAAAGCATGCTTTTTATAAATTGGGCAAACGTGACAATTTCTCTCTTTATAACGCCTCTGGAAAATTGTGACCTGGAGAGAGGTGGGTTTTGCAAGATCCCACTAGAAAGGCCTGCTGTCTCCACTAGGTGATGCGTTTTCAATTTAGGTCCAGGATATTGAGCCATATACTTTTTAAGTGAAACCTGAAGGCCTTTAGAAAAATCATAATTTACAAGTATTCAGTCCATATCATTGCCTTCTACCATTTTGGTTTAAGAACAACTATTTGCCTAAGATTTGAAAGCATCCCACTTTAATTTCTAATGCAGGTATAAGTCCATATATGCCTGATCACTTATCCTGACTTTTTTTCTTTACAGACTAAAGTGAATAATGTAGAAAATCATACTGATATCTTATGGTCCAATCCTTCTGCTTCTGATAATCTTAAGGAAGAAATTCGGAGACTGCGGGAAACGAATGAAGCTTTGCATCAAGAAATTGAGGTCAGTTTAAACTTGCAGTTCCCAAGATGAAGCTGACCAGTTACTGTTCCAGAACGTGAAATTCAAATTGGTTAAAATTAGCAGTGGTTAAAATTGTTTCGTGATCTGATTCTTTCATTTGCATAGAATCATAGTTCATCAATTCAGAATCTTAAAGCAAATGAGGAAAAACTGAAAAGTGCAAACCAAGATTTATGTAGTCAAATGAGACAAATGATTCAGGACTTTGATCAGGATAAGCAGGAAGCCATTGACAGGTAAGTGTTTCATTTGTATGTATTTTAACACCTCCTTCTGGTTTTTGATATTGAAACTATACCAGAACTTTTTGTATCCCCTTTGGGTTGGGAGGGGAATGTTTACTCTTGTTTTCCTTGCCAGAAACAAGGTGCCAGGAGTCACTTGTGTACTACTTCCTTCCCCCCGCCACCCCTGCTTTCCCATATCTTTACCACCTGTCCTAGGTGTGAAAGAACCTATCAGCAACATCATGAAGATGCAAAAGCCCAGCTTTGGAAAGACCTTCTGGAGAGGCATGCTGCAGAGAAAGAACAACTTATTCAGGCGTATGAAGAGACCATTTCTCAGTTAAAGTAAGACGCCACTAGTTTTTTCATTCTTTCAAATCTGAGGGTCTACCGTTAAGCTTACCTCCTCAGTCAAGGTTTTTATAACTTCAAAAAGCAAAGTATTTGAACTGACTGTGCTCCTATGAGTTGAAAGAATAGCAACTAAAAATGAGTAACTTCTATCTTGAAGGGCTAACATAGAAGCATTGAACAAGGAGATAATTGCAGTGAAAGAATGTTACATAGCAGTCTGTGGAGAGAAAGACACCCTGGAAACTACTCTGAGGAGAAAACTTGAGCAAGAACAACAATCCAAGGAAGAGAAGGTATAAGTGAAAGTGTCTGTGAAAGTGCACTTTTTCAGAGTGCTGTGCATCTAAACTAGTTGGAAAAAAAAGTATTATTGAATTACTTTTAATTTGACTGATATGTTAACAGCAGGGATGTCAGATTCACTAAGTGGATATACTTGTCTGTAGGCCAGAGTATAAATCCCAAAGTTGGCCTGCAGCTCATGCTAATTGCGAGCTGCTCTAGAGAGAAACCATAGTTACTACCTAAAGGCTAGAGTCTACACTACCTATCTGTTTACTCCTAGTGTACTGTCATGCTCTAAATTAGGTGGGGGAAATTTGCTGCTTTTCAGAGGTACTGCTATTCTTGCCCTTTAATTTTTTCTTTCATCAGTCTGTCTTTCTCTTCTGTTCTGCATTTCTTACCCTGATTTAATGCTGATTCTTGATTGCTGTTGTTTGACTTCTAAGTTGATAATCTAGCAGAAGTAATGGGATATAGTGGAGATCATTGCTTTTGAAATTGTCTGTAGACTTAGGCATGTAGACCACTCTGCTTAGACATATACTGTGCTCACGTATGAGAAGTTTGCTTGACAACTGTGAAGCCTGCCCTCATTTTGAAATACAAGTTAAAATCTGGACCACCTAGAAATATTCTGTAGGTCACATGATTTAAGTAGATCATGCATCTGAAAACTTGGTTTAAGTAATTGCCTCTTCCCAAATGTTCATTTAGGTTGGAAACCTGACAAGCCTTAAGTGTTATGTTGTTGAGAGCTTTCATTTAAAAATAATAGACCAGATTTTGGACCTGCCAAAATCAGTGACTGATGGCATGCATTTTTACTGTTAAGGTTATTCCTAGGGTCCTACTGAATTCACAGCAGAAGTGGGGTGCACTGTGGCTCCTTGAATTTTGCAGGTTCCCTGGCTTCCCCCCCCCGCCTGCTGCTTGGTAGAGGGGCCCTGCTTTGCAGCTTGCTCCAGATCAGCAGGGAGGCGAAAACTGTGGTTTTAAATATGGCACAGTTTTTTCCTTCCCACTGCTGATTTGGCTGAGGGGCCCCAGATGGCCCTGCTGTTTGCTGCTGACTGGTGGGGAGGCAAAAACTGTGCCATGTTTAAAACCGTAGTTTTAGCTTCCCTGCTGATGAGGAGAAAGCAGCGAGGCCCTTTTCTAACAGCAGCGGGGAGTAGGGCGGGGGCAGTGGAGTTTAACAAGCGTATGTCTCACTGTGCTCGTAATATATTGGGTTTCTCTTCACAGCTGTCCCACAACAAATAGGAAGGTTAGACTTCTGATTTCAGAAACTGTCTGTTTGCCACATCAGTCCTGTCTAGTGCAGTTAATACCCGCTGTGTAGAAGTGGTAGCATAAGGGTTTTTTTATTAGTTTCTTATGTGTCAAACTTGTTTGGCACATAGGGCAATAATATATATTTTTTCTAATTTTCAGCTATGCAAATTCCACATAATCTGAAAACACTGTTCTTGTATAATGATGGTGATTTAAGGTTAACTGTTTTTAATAGGATATATTTTTATTTTGCTTTGCCATATATGTACTAACTTAGAAGAGCCTGTGTTGTTTAGCTTGTCTTAATAAAGTATGGAAAACAGTTGCAACTCCAAAATACTTCGATTAACACCAATATTGAGTAGAACAATACCCCCTTTGTACAGTAGTCACATTTATAAAACAGCTGTTCCTTATCAAGAACCAAATTTCTTAACATGATGTTGCTGATCCATTGGACAGGATCTAGAATATTAGTCAGATATATTTGCATACCTTTAATTGCTTCTTTTTGGAGCAGCTTTCTGAGAGCTGTAGTTGGAAAGCTCTGAAAGATCAGCCCCGAGTGGTGGTGTGGTATGAAGTTGTTCAGTTGCATGTTCTAAATTTTGCCTAGCTCAAGAAAAAGCTGTTGGAAGAAAAAGAAGATGCTCTTAACTGCCTGAGGACTGAATTAGAAGAAAAATGCAGGAAGTCTATTATAGCAGCAAAAAACCAGTGGCTGAAAGAGAGAGAAGTTGTTACAAAGCAACAGGTTGAAACTGAAGTTACATTAGCCAGAGCCCAATGGGAAAAAGAAAAAAAAGAGGTGTGGGGCTTGCATGAATTGAAATACAGAAGTGTATTAATCAACTTTGAGTGGATGTGGGGGGGGGGGGGGGGGGA